TGCCTACCTCCAAGAATCACCTTGGACAGCCAGACAGTTTCAAATATCTTCTCTTGAGGCTGCTGCCGAATGGACGACACAAATCAATGCTGTTCGCAGCGGTTTGGACAATCCTTTGAGGGGACCTATGGATTCGACACGACCTTCTCATCGTCAAAAAGATCCACCCGACGAATCTCCCGTACAGTAAAATGTGCGGGTGGAGGATGTGAGAAGATTGGGGTGACTTGACCACTGCTGCCTGAGAACCATTTAGAGGTGATTCTGGCCGTACCAGCTGTTAGGAACCGCCCTTACAGACACGCGAGCAGGCAGGCATCGAGTCACACTCACAGGAGGCTATCGAGCCGCCTACACGCGGTGTAGGTAATCTGGCAACCAATCAATAATGTAAAATGCAAAGCTGTGGCCAGGCACGGCCTCTGAAAAGCCAGCCGTTGAGTCAAAAGCCAATCGAGTCTCTACTCTTTCGAGGACATTATCTGGTTGGTCCGATGGACATGGCAGTAGACGCGTTCGTTTACTTTGAGTACGTTGTACCAAGTGCGCTAAAAGACTTCTACTTTTGCGCTCTCCTTGTTGTGTTATTCCTTAGGGGCTCATGAAAGACGTAATTAGACGGCGATAGCTCGGCTTGGGCATCACTTACAGCACCAGCCACTTGCGCCCTCTGCCACCTCCGGTCTTCTTGACTTGGTCACGATACCGAGACCAGGTGACGGAGAAGGAGACAGTTCGGTAGATGCAGTGCAAATCCAGGCGAAAGTTACCGTCCCTACGCTACCTTGCTGATTCTCGCAGGAATCGACGGTCGAACTTTCCTATGGCGCTAGGTACGATTTCAGGAAGTAAACAGCCCGTAAGTTGGGGAGTGTCGATACCATAAAATCAGCGTGCAGGTATCACGTAACAGGACAAATCACATAAGCGTACGACAATTCTCGCAAGTATAAATCGCCTTAAAAACCAAAGGTGCTGTGCCAGTAAAAACGACTGAAAAATAAGTAGTTTTTGAGTACCATGCAACGGCTTTCCAGACAAATGACGGAGGTTAAAAAGGCATCGATTGAAGGGATGCACGCGAGGGTGGAGAAGGCTAGGCTGTATGCGTGAAATATGAGCGAAAACCGGAGATATTCGACCGTCACTGCTTGAGGACCAGCTTTCGAGTGAATTACACTGAATTCTTCCCCTATGAGACAGTCCGGCATGGCTGCGAGAAGGCAACGAGGAAATCTCAGGCCATCCAATAAAGAGGACTGAGGTGGTTTGTGTTAGTAATGTCCCAACAAAACGTCAGCCAATCTCGCTGGGAAGTATGTGTGCGCTTCCCCTTACATGCTGACTGCATGCTGGCGACAACATATCGCCATTGGCTGCAGTCAAAGAGTGTTTCCCTAGAACCTGATTGGTACATGACTTTTAGGAGCGCTTTGACTTTTCTAGTCCTTGGAGCTCATTGGGCAAAATGTTAGTCAACCCGAACGGATGCTATAAAAGCACGCAGTTCTTCCCACGAGGATAACTTGTAGGCTTTTCCTACATTCTTCCGTTGCCGATCAGCTTTTGCTTTGACTGTCGGGTTGCGCTTTGGGATAAAACAGGCCAGCACGCATAGATCAAGAGTGGTGACAACTACAATAAACGTCTCCGGGTTTCCTCGAGCCTAAGAAGGTGCCCTTGGATCCGATGCGACATCTCCGTCGTCATGAAGATTCGCGCGCATCGTGCATCCGGCCGGTTGGTCCTTCTCCACAGCTGTGAATACTGGGCTATGCGAATGGAAGGTGGGCGAAAACTTAAGGTCGCCACAGCGTGGGGACCGTAACTCGAGAGCCGTACACTTACAGCGTATCAAATCGAAAGGGTATGCCATACCATTAATGGAAGACAAGTGAGGTGGTTTGTGTTAGGAGTCACCCTAATAGAGGTGCGAGCAGATAGCCCTAGCGAGTCGCGCTCACGCCAGGCTATCGATTCGCAAAAACGCGGCGCACATAAGCCGGCAATCAATCGTTAATTTAAAATGTAAAGCTCCGGCCAGGCTTAGGACTTTAACAAGCCAGCCAGATGAGTCACAAGCCAATCGAGCCGCACCTCGCTCGAGGGCACTATCTGATTGGTCCGATGGACATGGCTGTACACGCGTTCGTTGACCTTAAATATGTTGTACCAAGTGCGCTAAAAGGCTTCTGTTTTTGCGCCCCGTTTTATTGCGTTCTTCTTTGGGGGTTCAATCAAACCGCAATTAGGCGGTGACATCTCGGGTTTGAGCTACAATTAAGACAGTTTGGGCACGTTCCTCGCCAGTCCAGTGTCTTTGCTCACAATCCAGCCCCAGTACCCAGCTGGAGGCATCTAAGAGAAAGTCGACTCAAAACTTGACTCGACAAAGTTCGACAAGGCCTCGAAATTATTCTTGGACTCTCGGGACTCGGTCTGCGTCGACATTGAAAAAAATAGGTTGAGCGGATCGTCACGCGTGGAGACCAACCGAGAACGGCTACAGCAAGTACACGATTGGAACTGCTGGAGCTTCACGGCAGACATCACTCACAACGTGGGTCGCAGGGGGAGGCATCTTCAACAACCGCTTGTGCGCCAAACGAAGGTGAAGTGGGAGGCAGAATCCCCGAAGCTCC